AAAAAAAAAAAAAAAAAAAGGGGGGGGGGGGGGGGGGGGTCCCCATACCAAACACACCCTTAATAAGTGTACTTTTAAGAGATTCAATACACCCTTTCATACTTTAAGCGGAGTGCAATTGGTCGATACCCATGGGTTGATTCATATTTGACCCACCCACTTTTAAATGATGGGATAACCAACCCATTTTGGGTCGAGCAGATAACCATAAATTTTTACCCATTTTGTCACCCCTATCCTTACTAGACTTTGCACTCCATTCAGGTAACTTGCCTGCATAAAAACTTTACCTGGAAAATCTCTAAGCGGTCAAGTTTTTCAAGGCGTGAACATCTTTCATCATCTTCCAAAAGATCTTGGACTTTGCGCCACTGTGTATCTACCTGTGGCTCCAAAGAAACAAAGGATGAACTTCAGAGAAAGAAAAGGAACAAAAGGTAAAAGTGATAGAAAGCTCAAACCACCAGATCCACTTCCCTTGGGGAAAGGAGGTGAAGAAAGTCTTAAAAGTAACAAATACCTTGATAAAGCCACAAGTCTCCAAAAACTGTTTGTACTCCAATCTATTCCGTCGATACTCTTCTTGAGCCTTTGACCTCTCCTGGAATAACAAACCAAATAACGACAAAAGACATAATTAACAACTGCACACCATAAAAATTACAAATGCTCAAGGAACAAGATGTGTAGGATGTACACGGTACATTCACACAGAAATTAACCAAACCACAAACTGTTCAAAGAAAAAAAAGGGTTGCTCTTTCAATTGCTTATCTTTTATTTACATATTTTTTGAGCAAAAATACAGTTGTCAACTTGAACAGATTTTATGAATGATCCTTGTCTAGATCAAAAATCTGAGCAATGCATTTTCAAAAGTGAGAATAGCAAAGGCGCACCTTTTTCTGAAGATCCACCAAGTAGTTCCTGAAGAGATCTTCACGATCAGCCTCTCGTTCAACAGCCTTGAACCGTTCATCATCCTCAAACATTGTAACTGCCTTACTGGTAGCACAATATCACGAGATCATTAAAAGGGGGGAAACGCTGCTTCTGTTACTACAGTTAGTAAGTATTAATAAAAGAGAAGCTTTTGTTAACTACCTCCATCTTGTAGATGAAGTGAGTTCCTTGGACTCCTGAAACAGTTAAAGTCAAACCAGGTTAACACTATAATACATAGTTTGTACACCATAAGTGATGTGTGACATGATAGATGCACAAGTGGTAAACAAATTCTTGATTTTCTCTATAGAAAACTTATCAATTAATTAAGTATCTTTAGAGCAAAGGTATTACAAGGAGTTCTACTCTTTCAAGAAAATGCTGTTAATATGCTTCAATCAATTAATCAATCAACTCTGCCTCAAACCCCCATCAGTTAGGATTAGCTACATAAATTCTCTATATCTTTTCATTCTATTCAGGCCCATTTCATTCCAGTATTATAATCACAAAGATATGTAGGATACCAAAATGGGACTCTTCTAATGCATAAGACGAAGGATTATTTTATTGGCAGTAAGGTCAGTGGAAACTTTTTCAAGTGTTTTGTGTACACTGTTACTGACAAAAAAAGTAGAGGTAAGAGCACCAACCCAACATGAAAACTGTACCAGCCTACCAAGAACCATTAAGGAGCACATATTTTACCTCTAACATCTTTGTGAATTCCTCTTTTGCCTTTCTTTGTCTAAGGCGCCTCTCCTCAGCCTCCTGTTTCTTCCTTTGCATCAAGTACTGTTGGGGAGAAAAGGTACATCAACACTCAGAAACCAATTGGTGATAGCTTCCGCACCTCCGGATTGACAGCATCATGCGGGGGGGGGGGGGTCAATTTAACAATCACAAACCCAGTGATTACCTCATTAAATGCTTGTTTCCGCTCACCAAGAGTTTTCAGAGCCCCGTATCGTTTATCATTGATTATAACTCGCATTGTCTGGTATGATAGTTCACTGTCAGTCACAAGTGCATAGATTTTAAATTAAGATAGCATGTCCGACTAACCTGCTCCCATGTCCAATCAGATTCAACATTAGCAGACTCTAGTAGAGCTTTGAATGCATTTTTAGCCTCCTAAAAAAATATAAAATGAGTAATAGTGGAATATTAAGCATTAAACAAATAAATACTTAGAGGAACACATTCAATCATTTTACCTGCTTGGTGGCATATAGAAAAGGTTCTTCATCTGCTGATTTCTCTTCTGCAGGTACCACATTAATCTTCCCAGCAACTGCCATGCCTTTCTTTGCCTCCTGTAAGTCACGATTTTAAACAATTAATTTTACAAGACAGCAATAATTCATCTCAAAAATCTATTATGCACAGGAATCCACAATTTGGCAAAGAGAGGGAGCATTTCCAAGGTATGACAGGGCTCATGCAAAAGAGATCGGAGCATTCTCAACCCTAGTTAGCAACTTGTGCTGGAACCTGGAATTTAGGAGAGGGAATTTGAAAAAATATTAGAATGTCAAACTTGGGATGTGTACTTGTGACCTAAAGCAATTCTTGAACCCCCTTTTGCCAACTCCTTGTGTCAAGGGGATTCAATATGACTCAAAATAGAGCTGGCTCTACATAGCTCCGACCATACTAG